GAGGTGGTGGAGGAAGAGCCTTCGGCGCAGCCGCCGCAGCCCAGGGCTGAGGCTCAGGCGCCCCTCTGCGGGCAGAGAGTGTTGCCCCCATTCTCGGCTGGCCTTCCCTTCTCTTCCCCCGCTCCCGTGGCGTTGCCCCGGGCAACAGCGCCCGCCGCCGGCGGCGCGAAACTCACTTACCTAGAACCTGACAAGCAGGAGCCCCTCGGACACGGGAGCCAGTCACCACCCCGCGTCACGGGGGCCGCCACAGCCAATGGGCGCCGCTGTCAGGAACCTCTGCGGCCAATCCAGCTGCTCGCCGGTCTTCGGGCTCCCTCGAGGCCTCAGCCAATGGGCACAAGCGGAAGGCGGGCGCCTGCCGCCCGGCCCCAACCCCCTCCTCCACCACCTCCCAGGAGGCGGGGCGCGGCCGATTGGCCGGGGTCCCCGAGGGGTGGGATTCGGGCTCTAAGCCTGATGGGCCGCGGGCGCGACGAGTGAAGGCGTGGTGCTTCGGACGCCGCCCTGTGGGCCCGCTCCCGGGTTCGGGTGGGGTCCCGCGGTCCTCCTGTTTGAGCTGCTCTCTTCGTCGGCGTAGCCCGCTCCTCTCGAGCCGGCGTCCACTACTGTGGCGGTGGGAATGAGGGCGGGATGGGCCGGAGGCGGACGGCGGCGTCACAGGAAACTTTGGGAGACTCGCCTGGCCGCGGCCGGGAAGTGGCCGGGCCGGGGGTGATAAGCTGGGGCGGCCTGGAAGGGACTACCCGACGGATCGGCAGCGGGAAAGGAATTCAGAGGGTGGGGACGGAGGCGTGATTAAAATGTTAACTGTGCCCGCGGGGTGCTGGGTGATCCCGGGAGCTGAAATCTCCGGGAACGGAAGCTGCTATGGGAAGGTGTACCCCCCACCCCCGCCACCTCCACCACCACTAAATGCGCATTTTTTTCACCCTCAGAATCAGTCACTATTTCCTGTACATTTTATTTCCATCAGTTGTAACGTTCATTCCTTTAGAATGGTTTTAAGCTTCTCCAGTTGACTATGAGTGCCTTAAAGGCAGGAACTGTATCCATTCCTGTAATTCCCAGTGCCTGAGACTGTCTTTAAAAAAAAAGATTAGACGCTCTATCACGCAGTGCTAGAATTGTAATAGATCCTGTTTAAAAGCGTACAGCTGGTTCTGTGAGTGGGCCTAATAGTAAGTCTTTCTTCAAGAGCCTATAATGCGTGAGGAACTCAAATTGGTTCGCTCTTCCAGTAAGGGCTGTTTTCTGAATGTCTTTCCTCAAAAGAATTTAGTGGAAAATGAGTAATGTGAGCTAAACAAAGATAACTAGGTGATCTGTAACAGTATGATAGGTATTATTAGTCACTATTGAAGGATGTGTTCCTGTAGCCGACTTTTTAAAGCATTGTATATCATGTACTTCGGTTGAACCACATTCTTTGCCTGGAGCAAATCTAACTTCCACCAATCTCATCTCCACCCTACACCCCTTTAAAGCTTTTGAATTATATGGGAGCTAAAGGAGTAGGGTGAATTTTTTTTTTTTTAAACAGGCTTATTTATCTGACCGCAGTGAAAGCCCTACACATAGAAAAACGTAAATTTTAAATTGGACTTTTCTTGTCTATAGTTTCAAGGTCAAAGAACCCAAAACTTGTAAAGACAAGTTTTAAAATAAGAGAGAGGCTTCAGTCTCCCCGTTAAAGATGGAAGAGATATTCTGTCTCAGAGGATTTACCTTAGAAAACTTGTTGGATACTTTCTTCTCTCTTTAAAATGTATATAAATCCTTTTGAAAACTAGACAGGTCTCCTGTCAGCTAGACTTTGGTCAGCTTTAGTTCCCAGGAATGTCTTTATCAGGGACAGGGGAGCTATCACCTTGAAATGCGAACGTCAAGATAGATAGCACGCTTGAATGGATGAACAAAAAATGTGTGTGTACATAATGGAATATTCTTAATTCCTAAAAAAAGAAAGAAATTTTGCCATTTGCAATAACATGAATGGACCTTGAAGACATTATGCTAAGTAAAATAAGTCAAACACAAATACCATATGATCTCCCTAATATGTGGAATTAAAAAACCTCATGGATATAAAGAACAAATTGGTGGTTTCAGGGAATGGGAGTTGCAATGGACGAAGGGGTTCAAAAGGTACAAACCTCCAGTTCTAAATAAGTCATGAGGATGTAAGGTACAGCTTGGTGACTATAGTTAATAATACTATATTGCATATTTGAAAGTTGCTAAGTAAATCTTAAGAGTCCTCATCAGAAGTTAAAAAAAAAAATTGTAAGTATGTACGGTGATGGATATTGATTAGATGTATTGAGGTGACTATTTCACAATATATACATATATTGAATCATGGTGTATACCTGAAACCCATATGTTATATGTCAGTTATACTTCAATAAAAGAAAGAGAGCTAGTACCTTATCTCCCAGTTTCTATGGGAAAGTATAGAAGCCTAACTTCAGTGGGCAAGTTACTCCAAGTTGCAAAACTACCTTATGTCATTAAGATATGAGAAGTTTGTTTTTCCTCTGGATAAAGCTAATTAGCTAACACAGATGGTCACCCCAATTATCAAATAAAGTTAAGATGAATTTTGTGCACAAATGGTATTGTCAAGGCCTCTTACTTGAGGACTAGTTATTTTAAAAAAACATATGTATGGATTGAATCTGCATGGCTATGAAAAGAGGGAGGTTTTTCTCTGTCTTTGTAATCTCTTTGCTGGTTGCCTGTAATGCTCATCACATTCTGGTTTGATGCTTATTCAATAAGTTTTTTATTTCTTTACTACCTCTGTGGCAAAGATTTCTAGATTGGGAGATTTTGTTTGTAATTCTACTTCCCCATCAATACTTATGCCCAAAGTATTGAGAATATAAAGTTAAAGTAATTATTTTTAGTTTTTAATTTATTCTTGAAAATGATCTCACGTGAGGTGATACCTTAACACAAACTACAAATACATTTTAAAAGTCAGAAATGATAATAAAGTTAATGTTTATGTGTTTTGTAGTGACTGTTAACTGCACAAACAGCCTATGTGGGGAAAAAAACACTTAGAAAATAAATTTTCTATAATATTAAATTTTATGATATGTGTCACATCAATATGAATGAAATCAATAGATGTTTGTGCATTAAATGGTTTAATAAAGCCAGAATACAACTTTGGGAATTGCTTCACCAAGGCATAGCTTTTCTAAGAACCTTAGCATTTCTCTACCTTTATACAAGGAAATCTAAATCTGGAGAGACGTAGTTGGTAAATTAGTTATTACATATATGCAGAAAGTAGTTTTAAATAAAGATCTGATAGTAAAATAGAACTGTTTGATATACATTGTGTGTGTGTGTCTGTGTTTTAAGGAACTCAAATCTCTGAAAACAGTAAGACTCTTTCCAGTTCTTCAACAGTTCTGTTATTTATTCACTCAAGAAACTTAAAAACTTCCTGCCATATGCCAAGCACTGTGCTAAGAAATGCAATTTGCATGAATGTACTTGAGGTAAATTAATGTGGCAAAAACCTATGCTTCATTTTTGAAAATGATAACAATTATAGCAAATTCAGTTTAAAAGTTTCCCTTTATTATAATTATGACTTTGCATTGCAACGTATTTAACATATTTCACCTGATTTCAAATATACTGTGCAATTTCCTTATATCTTGTAAATGTAGGGAGAATATAGAAAAATAAAGGAAAATAATTTCCTGCCTAAATGATCCATGGGCTTCATAAAATACTAACCACTCCCACAGGGCCTGGAGGAATATATATTTCAGTTGAAGTTGTTAGCATAAGATTTAATAAATTCATCTATCATTAAAATTTAGATCTATACCAGGTATTAGCATGATTTTTGAAATGCCACAGAGATGCCTAGCTATAGATAAATAAGTCCTTAGTATATATTTCATTTTCCCAAATACCAATTTTTGCCTGATCTAATAACATTGCTTACCTGGACAAATGAATACAATAATGTGGATGTCAAACCTTAGGCAATTAGTAAAAAATGACTTTAAAATTATTCCTTTACCCTATCTCTTCACATCCCCACCTTCCCATTTTCCTGTTTAATAGTTTCTCATAATAGGCTTCAAGAAAAATCTTGGCCGTAGGCCATCTAATTCATACCATACCTATTCCTCCCTTTAATCCTTAATCTATATTTCTTCTCTTTTCTTCCTTTCTGCCAGCTCTTTAGCTTTGTGACTCTCTGCTCTCTCTAATCCACAGTTCATTCCTAACCACTTGTACATACCACTCCTAAAATGGAAATAGTGAGGAGGCATGCAATATGGAAACCATACTTATCTTTGTACATGCTGCAATGTCTCTTTTCAGTACATATAAATAACCTTGATTTTGACAATTATACTCTTGAGGTCACTGGAGGTCACATCTGTGTGAAATTTTCTTTAGGAATTTTTGGGAGCACTTTTCAAATTTCAAATTTTCAAAATGGCTATGTGGCTTCCTTTATTTCACGAATCGGTATAAGAAAAATAAAGGAGGAAAAGAAGGAAAGAAAAGAAGGTGAAGTAGAGTTGGAGGAGGAAAACTTCTATTCTGGCTTCAAACTAAATGTCAAATGCATTAACACCATCTCACAAACCATCCGTCCCAGCAGAGTCAGCTGTCCGCCAAGCACTCCAATATTGGTTCCTCTGCTTCCCTGACCTTCCGCTCACCACTGAGAATTACTAACACCAACATTCCCAATCAAGACATACTCTCTCCAAAATGCCACTGGATCACTCAAGGCCTGTTCCTTTTTAAGTCACCTTTTACTCAGAATTTACCTGTCTTTCCCTCATCCCCGTATTCTTGGTTCATTGGACCTTCAAAAATAACTGTCGAATATGTTCCAGCAGGAGAGTGCTAGAGTAATGATTTCCAAATGTGGGTTAATGCACTATCACTTCGTCAGAATCACCTGAGAACCTTTTTAAAAATACATACTTCTAGATTTACTCCCTAAAGATTCTGACTGGGAAGAACTGAGAAGAGTTCAGAAAATTGGTATGTTTGGAATGAGACCAGTGAATCTGGTTAACATGGTGGATTTACTATAGGCACATATCTCTGCTCCTTCCCCAAACTTCTTGGCATAACATAAATACAGATCCAGATCACCAGGAATTTAAGGCACAGGGATCTCTGAGGGCATAGGTGAGAAGAGAGGCTTAAAACAATAGACTTGGTTGACAGTTTATATCAGGAGTAGGTAAACCCTCAGGTCATACTTCTCAACCAAGCGGCTAGGAAACACATTGCCTTAACCCAATCCAGAAACAATAAGATTTACTCCCTAGTAAGGGAGAACTAGAGAAGCTCTAGTTTTGAAGACATTAAGATTGCTGAGAATGGGTTAAGGTGTCTTATTGCACAATTGATTAAAGGGAATAAGTGAAAGTCTGCATACTAAACTATAAAATTTTCTCTCCCACTTGACTCCTATAATGGTAGTTTACATATTTATATCCTGTGGAAAGGATATTGAAAGATTCCTTTCCAGGGAAACCAACTTGCCCAAGGAAAAGTTTTATGGACACGGGTGATGAGGGGGAGAGGTCTTCCAACAGTGCTATCCCTGCCTAATCATATCATAAATTAGGTCTGCCAATTTGTAAGTTCCAGCCATACAAGTAGCTTCTCTCACTCTTAAATATAAGTAGACATCATACTTTTGAGAAAAACCACAGTCATAAATATCAGACACTAAAACAAAAAAAGTAGGGGTTAAGGGAGAGAGTTGAACATAACCAAACATAGCAGAAGAAAATTTCAGAATTATGAGTGATATCCTTAAAGAAGATCTGTGAATGAAAACAGGATGTTACTTTTTAAAAGAAATATTCAGAGAATACAATGAGCTTTCAGAAGTCAAAAAATTTAAACTTCAATAG